GTTACCTCAGTGCATGAGTACAGTAAATAACTTAATTGATTTGGCTCCTATAATGTTGCTATTATGCTATTTCAAGCTAGTGAAATCTTGAACTATTCTCTTAATAACATTTTTTTAAATCCATGTTTTTCACAATGGATCATAAAACATTTTTAAAAGTAGGAAATACTTGCATGTATACTTTGAAATTTTTAATTAAGCAAAGAATCCCAGCATACTGGAGCTAAATGAAGATGTAATAAATACAGCTCTGAGCCCCATAGAAGATGTATTAAAATAACAAAATATATTCATATCTTATACACCAAAATCTACAAAATCCTGGCATTTCTAGCATCAAAAACAAAAAGGATTTTAAATAGCTGTTTTATGTCTAGTTCCTATAATGCTTCTCCTAATAGAAGCTACTCAGTTATTAACATTGATATTAATGCTTTGTTGCTAACATATTATATTTCCTGGATAGCCCTATAGACAGGAAATTTTCTTTTACTGTAAAGTTCTAATGGTTACTGTTGGATGCAAAACAGTTGTCTTGGATATCCTTAAAAATACTAAATAGAATATTTCACAATATCTTATCCACAAAGAAATATTCCTTAAAGCTATGAATCTATAAATAGAGATATAATTAAAATTATTAATGAAAAGTACTTAATGCCATGTAAATGCACATTATTTTGTCATTTATCTTTATCTGCAAGTAGTTTAACTTTTCTTTTTTTTTAACATTTTATTAGGGGCTCATACAACTGTTATCCCAATCCATACACACATCAATTGTGTAAAGCGCATTTGTACATCGTTTCTCAAAACATTTTCTCTCCACTTAAACCCCCGACATTAGGTCCTCATTTTTCCCCTCCCTCCCCACTCCCCCCTCCCTCATGAGCCCTTGATAGTTTATAAATGGGTATTTTGTCATATCTTGCCCTGTCTGACGTCTCCCTTCACCCACTTTTCGGTTGTCTGTCCCCTTTAACTTTTATGACTTCCAATTGTTTGCAATTTATTATTTTCTAGAGTGTTAGGTTGTATTATTACTATAAAATTCAAACCAAACTCACTTCCATGGAGCGTATTCCAAAGTATAAGCCCCGGATAGGGCAGAGTGGAACGGCCCTTGTGAGTCTAAGAGAGTAGAGAGCCTCATCGGTCTCCCGAGTAGAGGCTGCTTGTTTTAAATTGCCAAGAGAATAGCAATCCAACCCGGGACCCACTATGGCACCAGAACGATAGGATTTGCCAAATTGGTGGTTTCTTTCTCTGAAAAATATACTTCCTCTGAATTTACACTGTACTGGATAAAATTTTCTTAAAATAGTATTTCCTCACCCTTTATCAACTCGGGCCCCCACAGCCAAAAAAATATAAAAAAGAAAGAACCCGAGTTCTGGATAATAATTTACATGTGCAGGTTAGAGGAATGAAGGCATAGAGAATCAAGGTCTCCTGCCCCATTTCTAAAAGCTGAGAAACATTTTATGGCAACACACAAGCACATTTAAAACACCCACAGTACATTTTGTGCTGCTAGACACTGACATTTGAGTAATCAACAAACCTAAAATAGACTGTGAAACTTAGAACTATATCAAGTCATATGACATATGCTTTTGAAAGAAGAGAAGTCATATGATACTCAGAAAACACTAAAATAGCCTACCACATTGACCTGCTTAGATAAGCAATCTCTCAAACACACAGTTCTGTGTCTTTGAATTACTTAAAAAAACAAAATCAAAAACTTACTGTGTGATATTTCTTCCTCATCAGCTGGAGAGAAAAACCCTGGGTTTAGGAGTTCAGGGATTTTTCTCTGATCTTCTTCCTTTCAATATGTCCTCTTACAGCTTTGTCCGAGTTCTTCAAATCTGATTGCCCAAAAGTCTAATCTGAGCTCCGCGGTGGCACCAGATTGGCCACTACCCATCCTATGTCCTGAGTGAATCATTTTCTTCCCTCTCCTGCTCAATTTGCTGCCCTGATCACTTTTCTAATTCCACTTTAGCTCTGATCACTTTTCTAATTCCACTTTAGCTCTGATCACTTTTCTAATTCCACTTTAGCTCTGATCACTTTTCTAATTCCACTTCAGCTCTGATCACTTTTCTAATTCCACTTGAGCTCTTCAGTTGTTTACTTTCTCTGTGCTCTTTTCTTTCTATAAACTCCTCTTCTATCTCAACTAATTCTTTTGACTATGTCTATATGCAGGAAAACACACTTATGCTAAACAACCTCAAATACACAGATCAACATAGGATAATAGTAGTTTATACTCAAATAAGGTAAATGTTCCCAGAATGATGAACAAAACCTCTAAAACAGCAAACTCTAACTTAGAATACCAAGTTGGCCATTTATTATGTAAACTTTAGAAATCAGCATTTAGCCTATGGATTTACTCATTTAGAAAACAATAATTATGGTATTATTGATAAAAATAACAACTAATATGTACATCAAAAGACTTCATCAAAAGAGTGAAAAGAGGACCCACAGATTATGAACAAAATTTTGGCAATAATACATGTGATAAAAAATCTATAAAGAATCGTAACACTTTAATAAGAAAACCAGAAATAGTCTAATAAAAAAAGTGAGCAGAAGACATGGGTAGAAAATTCACAAAATATGACATGTAGGCAGCCAATTGTATGAAGAGATGTTCACATTTATTAGCGATAAGACAGACACAAAATTCTAAATTTACTAGCTATCACCTCTTACCGATACTGATAGAAATTTCACTTCTTTTTTAATGCTGGGACGTGTATGGAAAGATTGGAAGACTCACACAATGCTAGTGGGGTTGCAGGATGGAACAGACGGAGAGAACATGGCAGTCCTCACATAAACGTGGATAGAAATACCATGTGACTGTGCCTTTCTCCACCCAGTGTATACCCCAAAGATATAAACAACAAATGTAAACAGATATATGCACATGTGTATCACAGCTTTTTCTATCATAACAAAAGATAGAGACAACCAAAATTCCCATCTGTGCATGATTGGATAAACAAACTCTGGGATAGACACACAATAGAATATTATTCATTTCAATGGAATATTATACATCCCTGAGAAACCATAATGAAACTGTCAAACACCCCAAGCCGTGGATGAGTTTGGAAGGCATTGTGCTTAGAAATGTTAGTCAATCACATAAAGACAAATACTACATGACGCCATTATTATAAAAGGAGAAAAAACAAGCAAACAAGCGTAGGAAAACCGATTCATATCAAAAGAAGCAGATTTTGAAGGCTGTGGCTAGGTGAGAGTCCAAGGATGGGTAAGGGTGGTTGGTAGGGCAGCAAAGGAAGGAAGGAAGGAGGAGGGGGTAAAGAAAGGGGACTTCCTATCCTGAGGGATGCAAGTGTCACTGCTCGCAGCAGGTGAGCTGTGAAATTGTGCCCTCCATGTTTCTCCTTGCGTGTGTTCTCCTCCACAGGAAAAGGGCATACAGAAAACGGAAAGGAGAGGCCCAAGCTGTGACAGCCCTCATTTGCTTCCCCTCAGATCCACACATGTTGGAGGGCTACAAAAGAAGGAAAAGGAACAGGGGAACCAGCTCAAAATAATCACTATACGTATGAGTGTCGCTATGTGTCATTTCCATCCTAATCATGCGTATTCTTCATATACACACATGCAGATCTTGCAAGATGGGATCATGATTGAGACATTAAATCATTAAATAATTTTGTCCACGGTCAGAGAGCTAAGAAATGTTGAGACTGAAATTCAAAACCAAATGTCTGGCTCCATTATTCAGCCCTATCTATCTACTTTACAGGACTATTATGAAAATAAAATAATATTCATATTGTATATGAAATATTCTGGACACTTGTTTGGCTAGTATTAAGAAGTTTAGATAGTTGCAGAAGAATTAAAACTTATTTTTCTGATTTTTCAAACCTTGCTCCAAAGAAAACTCTTACTTTTGGGGGGTTATTGTTTCTACTGTTGATCCTATATTTACCCATAAAAATATTATTGAACATAATCTCTTGATGTTCCTTCATGAAGATAAATTGTACACTTTTATCAGGTTGAATTCAGTAATCTCATGTAACTTGTCTTGGCAACTTAATAAATGCAAGTAAAAGTAATATGTTTTACTTTAGAGCCTCTTTGATTTTAAAGTATGTATCTTTATCAACAGCATCACAAAGTTTCTGTGACAGATTGCAAAAGGACTGATATTAAGAGTTTTTGACTTGGGATAAACATGAGGAATAAACTTGGTTATTTGAAACCACTGAGCTTTAGTTTTGTTTAGTGATTGCAGCCATAACCTACTTTGTTCTGATTTGCACTACCACTAAATTCCATAAGACTCTTTGATTTATAGGACATTTGATATGAGATTTTCTTTCTCTTGGGGTATATAAAAGTTGAGGGAAGGGTAAACTATAGGATCAGAAAATGGTAACATTTAAGATGACTTTAAGAATAAACTGACCCACTAGTTTTCAAACTTTGAGTTCCAAGTAACAATTAAATTTTTTTAAATCTGTATTAAAAGATATTTTAATGTACAAAGTAATTAAAACTTTAAATTAAAATACCTTTTAATACTATTTTCAG